CTTCTGCAGTAAATTCCCCACTGTCTTTGATCCCACACATGTCACCACCATAAAGGTCACACATCCTGGCGAGCGCCTGCTGCCAGCCAGCCACTAGGATTTCCATGAGAGGAATCCAATCCTCTCTGCTCTGAGTCCCTGAGGCTTTTCAAGTTCCTGGAGCCTGAACAAAGTCCAGATACTGCCTCAGTCATGAGGTCCTTAGACACACTCTCAGGGCACAGACCTTCTATGTCAGACCCCTTGTGAGTGTTGGAATCCACTGTCAAGCCACCTAGTCCCTCTGGGCACTGTGGTGACTGTTCAGATTCCCCAATACTTGAACACACCTGTCTCCCAGATGCCCCCTAAAGCATATGAAGCTTCTGATTTACCGTTTAGCTCTTGGGCACACAGTCGTGAAGTAGCCCGCGCGCACATGTCCGTCTAATATCTTTATTCTCTTTCCTAGTTAATGTAAAGTGCAGGAGAGTACGGATCATATAAAACACTCTGAATGCAATGTTCTTCATTAGCTTACCCTTTCCTTGGGGATCATGTGTGTTGTCAAGCAGGCAGGTGGGGTCTTGCCTAACCTGCTGCTAGAACAGTCTCTCTCCTCTTAATCTTGTGCAAAATGGCTCTCCTCCTCTCCCCTCCTCAACCCCCCACTGAGTCTATTTAAAGACTCCTGCGGAGGTCATCAGCCTCTTTTGTTCTGCCATAGTAACTTTCCATTACATTCTAAACTCCCTCTCCCTTCTGATAAGAGGAAGTGTCCTCTCACAGCTACAGCAAACCCATTGTCCTAATGTCTGTCTTTGAATAGACTACCATTGAGTGCTGACCACTCACATTTTCTCTGCCCTGACAGAGAGGTGTAACAACCCTGCTAACTCCAGGGGCTGGTCAACACTAGAAAATTAAGTCAAACTAGCTACGTCACTCAGATGTGAAAAATCCCTGCCACTGAATAGTTACTGGTTATTGGTTCCTGAGTAACCAATGTAGTTAAGTCCCAACCACAGGTGCCATCTTTCCAATGTGCTGGGGGGTGCTCGACCCCCCCCGGCTCTTCTCAGGGCCCGCCCCCACTCCACTCCTTCCTGCCCCCGCCCTGTTCTGCCCCCTCCTGTGAGCATGCTGTGCCTTCGCTCCTCCCTCCCTGAGCCATACAGTGCTGATCAAGATTTAGACTTCCCCAAAGCTCAGGGATCTGGGATTTTGGAAAAGGCCTGTCTCCCATTTTAAAACAGTCCTTGGCCTGATTCACTCACATTAAGCGTTGTAAAGCAAACAGCGTTTTGGACAGAAGAAACCTCTGTTAAGTGTATGGTTCAAGCTGGTTGGGAATTTTTTGATGAAACGTTTTAGTCAGAAAATAAGTTCATTGAAACTGAACCTTTTTGTGGGAAATGATTGGTGTAATTGGCTGGCCTTCTCCCCAGCTCACAAAGGACCCACTGTCACAGTGTCTTTCCAGGCAGTTTTAGTTCTCCAACAAGCAAAATATCCACACAGTTCCTCGGCCCATCTGCGGATTTCTGTCTGTCCTGCTTCAGGGCATCCTGCAGTAGTCTTCCGTCCTCAGCTTAGTGAGGACCATCCCCAAGACTTTCCTCTTGGAGGCCCTTTTCCCCCCAGAGGGTTCCCACTGTTTCCTCTCCCAGGGGATTCTGCCAGCCCCTCCCAGAGAACTTTCTGCTTCTTGCAGCTCAGTGGTTCAGACTCACTGGGTCCATGTCTCTTCTCTTTCCCCCGTTAGGCCTAGGTGTCCTCTTTTTAAACCCAATTGAGATCAGCTGTCCAGTCACAGATGCATTGGCCCAACTCCTTCTTAATGTCAATTTCTAATTTTTTTTTCTCCAAAATTTAAAATGGGAAATTCAATGTCCTGTTTCAACATTTTTCAAAACAAAATTCTGTTTTTCAGTTTGAAAATGCTTTGTTTTGAAATGTAGGTAAATTTATAGTAAAAGAAATGATGAAATAATAAAAGGACAAAATCAAAAGCAACTTTAACCATATGAAAAAAGGTTTTTGATTGGGTCAATTGAAATGTTTTGTTGCAATAATTTCAGTTTTTGAAAATTTAATACTTTGATTTTTTTTTGTGTCTCGATTCGGCATGGGGAAAATGGTTTTGAAACCTCCAAAATCCGTGTGGGAGGGGAAAATCACTTCCTGCTGAACTCTAGTTATGGGTTGTAAAGTTTTTTTTTTTTCCTCTTTTTTTCTTAAAGTAAAACCTGTTTCCCATATCCCACTTTATTTATAGAAACTTTCTGGCAACTTCTGGTCTTGTTCAATCTTTCTCTTTGACACCTCCATTGTTGTGTTTTATAAATTTATAGTTGTGCCTTGTCTGTGCTTACAAAATGGAAAAGCTTTGAACAGAGTGAATTTGAACAATTACTTCACTTCCCGCTAACAGTGTTAATCCTGTGTACAGTATTAATTATTTCTTTTATTTGGCAGTGTCGTGCAAACAACAAATGAGCTTATATTCTTAAAAAGAATTCCCCTCATGACTGATTATCATACTCTAGGTTAGTCAGACTGAAAAGGAATCTATTTTCTTTCCTCTGAAGACGAGCTCTAACTGTTATGTATATAGGGTAAGACAACAGAATGAATGCTGGGTGAATCCTGTTTTTATGGTTTCTGTGCTGCTAAGTAATGATTAACCTAACAAACTCCTTATTGCACAAGTAGCTTTAAACTGTCTCATTACCGCTATTTTTATCCTTAAAGATGTAATACAGGGATTAATAAGCACTATTTACCCTAAGAGGCTTTTAAAATATGAAATCTTGAAAAGGTGGATCCTTCCTATCTTTAGTGTGCAAACATGTAGCTAGGAATGTGCTTCTGTGCGGGTTTCATGTTTTTGTTTGCTTTTTATTTCCAATAATAAGAATCAGCTGAAAACACCTTGTTAACGTGGACATTTAAAACCAGGGCGGGGTTGGATTTTAGAGTGGGATCTGCGAAGTCTGCATATGGTGGCTGGTTATTGCAGAACTGTCCTGCAGTTCTATGCTAAATTCTAAAAGATCAAACCAAACTTCCTACACACTATGAACCCAGTTCTCTTCTCTCAACTGATTTTACACCTATTGACTTAAGTGGAATTACTCTGGATGTATCCAAGGACAGGAATAAGTGGGAGGAGAATTGGGCCATGTTGTTTGGGCTTGCTGGGCAGGCATTAGGCTTTCCAGCTCAATACCTGTTCATACAGGATGTCTGATCCCACAATTCCAGGAAAAATTCTATGCAGTGCAAAGTCAAAATTCTTAACATGTTTCCAGGAGAGAGAATTAACAGATTTAGGGCTCGTCCACACAGACAATTAATTTGTGGCAAACAGGGGTGTAAATCTACCCCACGCTAGCCTGCTACATATTGTGTCCCTGTGAACCCTGTTGATGTACGCTAACCGTTCCCTCGTGCTTTTTGACCTTGCCCCTCCCCTTTCAAATGGGAGTAGATCAGGTCAGAAGAACCAACTGCTGTTTGCCAATTCTGTGACCCAGCAGAGAAATAAAGTGTCTCAAAGGCTAACTCCTGTATCAATCTACAGTAGAACCTCAGAGTTAAACACCTCGGGAATGGAGTTTGTTCGTAACTCTGAAACGTTTGTAACTCTAAACGAAACATTATGGTGGTTCTTTCAAAAGTTTACAGCTGAACAGTGATTTAATTCAGCTTTGAAACTTCACTTTGCAGAAGAAAAATGCTGCTTTTTAACTATCTTAATTTAAATGAAACAAGCACAAACAGTTTCCTTATCTTTTGCAATTCTTTTTTTTTTTTTTTTAACTTTCCAACTTTTTTAGTGGTATAACACCATACTGTACTTTTATTTGCTTTGGTCTCTGCTGTTGCCTAGTTGTGTACTTCCAGTTCCAAATGAGGTGTGTGGTTGACCGGTCTGTTTGTAACTCTGAGGTTCTACTGTATTTAGCTTCTGTACTTCTAAAGTTTATTACTCTTCAAAACAAAATAAAAACCCTCCATCTCTGTAAACTATTCCTGTGCCCTTTCTCTCCCTGTCTCTGTCTCTAAGCTGTACCATGACATTCTATTTTAATGAACTAAGAATATACTTTGCCTTTTTTTATTGTTGCTGGGGAATATTCAGGCCATCTCATGAATTACAGAAAGTTTTATTCCCTAGTTGTTGAGAGTTTGGCTGTAGTTTTAGTTCTGTGATATGCATATCCCAATGATTCTCATTTTAGTCATGTGCCTATGTAGGAATTGCCAGATTAGATCAGCCTGTAGTGAGTTTAAATTGGTATCCTGTCTCTGACAGTGGCTTCTATCTAATGCTTCAGAAGAGGATGCAAGACCCCCATAATAGATGCAAAAACTGTGGGGAAAGTTTGTTCCTAACCTTTTATATTGTCAAGCAAGAGGGTTTATATCCCAGATAAACCTTTATGCTTTCTAGATCAGCTGTGGATGTTAGTCACTTAAATGACTAATTTATTTTTTAAATCCTGTTATGCTTTTGACCTCAGTATCTTGTAGCAGTGACTTCAACTATTCACTTTATGCAAAAATATATTTTCTTTTATCAGTTTTAAATTTACCATTAAATTTCCTTGGGTGTCCTCTCATTCTTGTATTAATCACTTCTAGTTTCGTTTTTTTTCCCCCCTCCCCTCTCTCACCCATCCACCTGTTCATCATAGGGAAAAAAAGATAACCCTTTTAAAAGTAAATCGTGTTGGTATTGGTCTTGAAAAACATGCTTAGATGCCCTGCTTGTACTAATGTGTATTTGAATTGTCCATGTCATCTTGACATTGCTTACAACTTTAACTATTGTCAGCTGCTGCTGGAGGCTATATGTTTAAATTTCCCCACTGCCTGAGAGAAAATGAATATGGAAAATTGAAATTGCTCATGAAATGTCATTTCAAATGCACCTTAATTATAACCTAGACCACCCTATTAACTTTGAAAATTGATTTTACAAACAGTAAAACAGCTTTTTTTTTCCCTTGTAGTTTCAGCTGTGTATGATTCTACGCTCAATTTTAGAAATAATGAGAATCCAACTTTGCTGGGAGTTTTAAATGGGAAGAAATACCATGCAGATTTATATGTAAGGCAAGTTATCTGTACTCATGGTTTTTCCATATATAGTGGTGTGCACTTTACTAACAAGCAGGGGAATGGTTTTTCTTGCAGGTAATTGATAACAAATCGGTGTAAAACTTTCTTCAAAGGAGCTCAGGTGAACATCTATAGCTGTATTTTTTTCAAATTGTGTCACTATATGGTAGGAGTCTCCAGAGTGCACTGTTACACATAGTTTTACAAGATTTTTTTTT